TGAGTAGTGGGTAGCGAGTGGCGAGTAGGGAGTAGGGAGTGGGGAGTAGTGAGTAGTGAATAGTGAGTAGTGTGTACTGATAAGTGAGCAGTGAGTGGCGAGTAGTGAGTAGTGAGTAGTGAGTAGCGATAGTAAGTAGAGGGTAGTGATCCGTGAGTAAGGAGTAGGGAGTAGCGAGTAGTGAGTAGTGAATAGGGAGTAGGGAGTAGGGAGTAGTGAGCAGTGAGTAGTAGGACGTGGGTAGTGAGTAGCGATTAGTGAGTAGTGGGTCGTGACTAGTGACTTGTGACTTGTGACTAGTGGCTAGAGACTATGTAGTGACTAGTGAGTAGGGGGTAGTGACTAGTGAGTAGTGAGTAGCGGGGAGTGGGTCGTGAGTATTGAATAGCGAGTATGGGGGTAGCGAGTAGTGAGTACTGAGTACTGTGTAGTCAGTTTCGTGTAGGGAGTAGCGAGTAGCGAGTAGTACGTAGTGAGTAGTGATTTGCAGGCAATGAGTAGAGAGTAGGGAGTAGTGAGTAGTGGACAGTGGGTAGTGGGTAATGAGTAGCGAGCAGTGAGTAGTGAGGGGAGTAATGAGTAGTACGTAGTGGGTAGTGAGTATTGAGTAGTGGGTAGTGAGGAGTAAGTAGTGAGTAGTGAGTGGGGAGGGGGGAGTAGTGAGTAGGGAGTAGTGAGTAGCGAGTAGTGGGTGGTGGGTAGTGAGTAGTGGATAGTGCGTAGTGAGTCGTGAGTAGTGAGCAGGGGGCAGTAAGAAGTGAGTAGCGAATAGCGAGTAGCCAGTAGTGGGTAGTGAGTAATGAGTAGTGAGTACTCTTTGGGGCTGAGGTTAGTGGTTGGGGTTGGGGTTAGGGTTGGGTGGGGCAAGGGGTAAGGGTGGGGGTCGGTTCCGGAGTCAGGGAGGGGGGCGGCAGGGGAGGGGCGGGGGGGGGGGGTCGGACCCCCCCCTCCCCTTTTTTTTGAAAGGGGGGGAGGGGGGGGGCCCGACGACGGACCAGGATCGGGGAAAGGGAGGGGGGGGGGGCGCCCCGACGACGGATCGAGGAGGTGGGGGGGGGGGGGGGCCAACCCCCCCACGCCCTCTTTGGGGGGGTCCAGCGGCGCGCCCTCAACAACGCGGACCTGGCCAAGAAAGCCATGGAGTCGCTCAAGCAGCAGCAGGACGCGCACATCTGGCCCTGAGGCATCCCGCCGATGGCACGGTGCACAGAGGTCGACACAGATGAGGACGTCGCCAAGGCAGCGCAGATCTTTTGCGCCAGCGCGGAGGCACAAGCGGCAGCCTAGATGGGGCTCAAGGTCAGAGCCGACTACGTCTTCACGGACGGCTCGGGAGATGCATGCACCGCGGCCAAGGACCCCAGGCTCCGAAGGCGCGGCTGGGCAGTCGCGGCTTTCAAGTTCGTCGAGGGAGGTCTACCGCAGGAGGTGGCAGCCTGGTATCGGACTAGCAGGGCGCCGCGCGCGGTGCCCAGGGCAGAGCTCGCAGCCACGAGCAAGGCCATCAGGTACACCACGGCGGCACAGCCCAGGGTCTCAAGATTGTCAGCGACTGCAAGTGTGCCCTCGACGCGCTGAAGAATATCCAAGACTCTGAGGACCCCGACTACAGAAGCGTGAACTACGACTTCTGGCTCATGACCAGGCAGCAGTCGCAGCGCAGCACGGGCGCCATCAATGGCCACCATATCCCCAGCCACATGATCGAGCACCCCGCCGAGCTGGAAAGGTGGGCGGGACCGACCTGGCTGGTGACCGGAAACGAGATGGCCGACACATATGCCGCTTGGGGCGCATAACATGGAGCGCTCGACCCAGCAACCATCGTCAAGCGGCAGATCCGCGACCAGATCACGGTGGCGGTCCAGAGCAGACTGCTCGGGATCAACATGGCGGTCGCGGTTGAGGACTCCAACGAAGTCCACCAGCAGGGGGGGCGAAGAGGAGGAAGCCGCCGACAGCACAAGAGAAAGCAGCCCAGCATGGACACGATCTGCGGAAGCTCCACCCGCGCTGGTGGTGCGTTTCCTGCCGCAGCGGGCCAGACAATGTGCAGAGTGCACGAGCATGGCTAGCAGAGAACGGAACATGCCAAGGGAGAGATCGCTGCCACCTGGACTTTCACGGCTTCCAGCGGCTCGATTTCAAGGCGGTCAAGATTGGCACCCAGGTGGTCCACAACGCGCACAAGACGCAGCTCACGCAAGGCTGGTTGCGGTGTTAGAAATGCGGCGATACAAGCTACCTCGGGAACCGCGGCGACAGGATCGTGGCAGGGGCAGCGCGAAAGCTGGCGAAGTCTTGCTTGCCGCCCACGGCCGTTGGCCGGATTCTTGTCGATGACGAAGGGGCGGCCGCCCAACCGAGGACGCAAGGTCGCGCCAGATGACGAAGGCACCGAAGGAGCAGCTCCCGAGGCAACAAGCTTGAGCGCCTTTAGAGTGGGGACAAGCAGCACGGATGTGATTGACCTAGATGCTGAGGGCTCCGATCCCGACGCAGCCCAGCCAGAGCGTCAGCGGCCCGCGCAGCATCCCCAGTCGTTCGTCCAGGCTAGCTGGAGGCTCGTGGACCGCGTGGAAGGGTGCGCGGAGCAGCGGATGGACATGGTGGACCAGGAGGTCCGGGACGACATGGGCGATTGGATGGAGCATTGCATCCCCAACCTCATGGCGGCCACCAACGTAGGTGGCTGGACGGCCATCGAAGAGCAGACGAGGGCGGCGACGCCGCGGGAGTTCCAGCAGCTGCCGGACTTCTGCGAGGACATTTGGAAGAGCACCCTCGGAGCGCGCAGGAGGCTTATGACGCACATGCTCACCCCCCCGCACGGGGCCGGGCAGCTAGCAGACAGGGCGCGCGCTGAGGCCTTCCAGGGCAGGAGGGGCAGCATCCCGGCGCACAGCGCCCCCTGCAGTGAGAGGAGGCCACTTCCCAGCACCACGGAAGGGAATCGGGCCTGGACGCCAGAGAACCGGGACGACGACTCCTCAGTCCCAGACAGCGAAATTCCAGAGCTGGAAGGAGCAGAGAGTGACCAGGACATGGACCCCATCCCAGGACCCGAGCCGCTCAATGACGACACGCACCTGGTCCAAAGGCGCGCCACGGTGCAATGGGCTCAGCTAGCCAAGTCGCCCGTGCCTGTCCTCATGAAGCATGCGCAGCAGGCGAAGGACGCGGGCGCGCAGCGCCCCAGGCTCCGCCAGCATCGAGGCGATGAAGATCAGGACCCAGAGAGGGAGCTCGCGTGGCTTGAGCGGGGCCGTCTGGAGCAGCCGATGCAGTCGCTGGCAGGGTGCTGGATTCAAGGAGCGGGAGAACAAGGCCGTAGGGCGCGGCAGGCAGCGCGCGCACCCCGCGCCCTCAAGACCCTGCAGCCGGGCCTCCACCAGCGCCTTTTCAGCGACATCCCAGGCGAGGCACGCCAGCGCAGCCAGCGCACAGCGGCCGAGGATACATGCCGCCTCGCATGGCTGAACAGCAGTGCGGCGCGGCGAGCGATCCAGCATCAGGACCCTGAGGAAGCGGCGCGACGCTGGCAGATGGCAGAGACGGCGCTCGGCGCGGGCCCGCAGGTGGGCGACGACGGCAACGGGGGAAGCAGCGGTCCCCAGCGTGGCGAGGGGTTAGGCCACAGCAGGCCCCAGCGCGGCGAGGGGTTAGGCCACGGCAGACCCCGGCGCGGCGATGGGCCAGGCCGGTCCGGTCCCCAGCGCGGCGACGGGGTTAGGCCGCAGAGGCCCCCGGCGCGGCGAGGGGTTAGGCTGCGGCGAGCCCTGGCGCGGTGAGGGGCTAGGCCGCAGCGGGCCCCTGCGCGGCGAGGGGCAAGGCCACGGCGGGTCCTGGCGCGGCGAGGGGCCGGGCCGCAACGGGCCCCAGCGCGGCGAGGGGTTAGGCCATTCAGGCCACTTCGACTGGAGTGGGCCCCCGCAGCGACGCCTGGCCGTCGTCTTGGGGCTTAATGTGGGGTGGTGCGCCATTCCCTGCCGCTTGAGGTCCAGGTGCTCCTGGCAACGTCGGGCTGAATTCGTTCGCCTCCACCATCGAGTGCATGCTGCAGCTTGTCGTTTTCCTGGTGGTCTTCCTCGTGTTCAGGGGTCTGGTGTCTCGTGGTGTCTTGGTGAGCGGACTGCTGAGCGCGCAGGTGCTCGGTGTGATTTCCGCGACCTACTTGTTCGATGCTTGTTTGTTCTTGCATTGCGGGCCTGGGCCCATTTTTACTGGATTGGTGTTTGTTCAGTTGAATGTATTGCGGGAGTTGGCTCAGTGTCTTTTTGTGCGGAGCTCGTGGGACGAGCCGCGGTGGCTAGCATTCTCCTCGCCCAGGGCCTGGTGCGCCCGTGTGCCTTATCGGCGACTGGTGGAGTGAAGTGTGTTTGTCGCGATGTGGATGTGGCCTTCGGCCTATGATTTTTGCGCGTCATTCGCACCCTGGTTCTTCTTCGTTGTCGTGCTGGTGCAGGCGGTGTCCATCATGTACGCTCGCGCTGTGTCTACGCGGCCTTTGTGGCGGTGTGGTGGTCAGGGCTGGCGGCTTTCGTGCAGTATTTCGCGGCACAGGTGTTTCACCCAGCTTATGTTTGCAAGAAACGTGAGCTCGTCACATACCTGGGGAGTACTGCTGGGATCTAGTTCTTATTACGCACAGCGGGCGACATTCGCGCGGGTGTATTTCATCACGGTTCCACACGTTCGTGGTGTTGTCGTGAAGTGGCCTGCCGAGAGCAGGGACCCCGCGCAGAGTAGAATTGTGTTTCGAATTCGAATTCTTCCTCCTCTTCCACCCCTTCGTCGTCCTCGTCCACCTCCTCCTCGTCCTCCTCGTCCTCCGCCTGCCAGTCCTTTTGTCTCTCCCTCCCCTTCCTCCCTCCTCCCCTCCGTCCTTCACCTCGTGAGGTCATTCGTCGGCCACCTCGCGGGGCTCCCCCGTGACCTCAGTGAACTGCGTCGCGCCGCCTGGCGAAGTCGCCCACACCCCCCGCGCCCCGCGCTGGGAGGTACGGCAACCGGCAGCAGGAGTCCGAGTTCTTCGCCCCGAAGCGGCCGGAGGCCGAGGCGCCCCGCGGGCGGCAAACAGTGTGGGCGCCTGGCGGCGGGCAGTGCGCGGGCCCCCCGCGCTCGACCGGCGCGGTCCCTTCGGAGGATGCAAAGGCACCGATATTCAGGAGGGGGAAGTACACAGACACAGTTTATCGTCGACCCCTGGGAAAAGATGAGCAAATATGGGAAGTGTGGGCGGGGAAGACGAACACATAGACAACAGTGGTCCTATAGGGGGTCCTGGGACATGTGTCTATGTATTTGTGTGCTCCAGGAGCCCGCGCCAGACCCCGGGACAGTCAAGCTATGACTCAGGATGAACATGCGGTGCCCGGGCGTGGGTCGAGACTCCCAGGGAACCCCGTGTGGGAAAAATCTGGCATCGGATCTTTGGGAAGTACCGATACAGATGCCTTTCTCTCGTTTTCCTCTTCTTGGGCTTCTTGGGTGACCCGCGACGCCACCGCTGGACTCGCTTCGAAATCCTGATCAGAACGCATCCCAGGGCCCCAGGAGAGGTCCGGGAATAGCAGAATCGTTGCGCTTTCGCATCCCCATTGCCTTGCTCGCATCATCGAGGATCGAGGTTCGGGGGTCTAGCTTTGGAGCGGGCTGGGGGTCTGAGGTGGCGCCGTCCCGGTTCCGGCCGGCAGGAAGGTGGGGGCCAGGTTCGAGATTTTGGGTTCGGGAAGGTTTTCAGCCGTTTTTGGCCCCAGGCCCCAGGACCGTCAAGCACGGATCCAGGGTGGAAAAGTGCACCAGGTGGATTCCGGGAGGGGTCCGGTTTGGGAACCGATGTTGATCGGATTCGCCCGTATCCCGAGGATTGGGAGGTCGGACGGGGCTAGCACGAGGATAGAGCCGTCCCAGATCGCTTCAGGCTTTCAGAGCTCTCAGGAACGCTCTGAGAAGGCCGCGGCGCGCGGCGCCCTCTGCTCACCCCATGAGATGATGGCTCACTCCAGTCCCATCCATCACCGACCTTTGGGAGCCTTCCAGATGTCGGGTCAAGGTTCGGTGATCTGGGTTCGAGGGCCCAGGGTCGATGTGCCAGGCCGGAGGGGGTCCATGTCGGGCGGGGGTCGTGCCGGCTGCAGACACGGTACGGGCCCCGCCCCGCCCGGGCCTGTCCCTGGCTTCCTGGCGGAGCGCGGAGGGCGTGTGCACGGGTCCACTGGCCTTGGCTCGGTGCAGATGGATCGTTGGCGTGCTCCTTCCGAGACGCTGGCGGCGGAGGCTCTCCGGACAGGGCATCTGGGCATCGGGGGCCCAGGCCACACCGCCTTGCAGCATGACGCACGGACGCGGTCAGCTTCTGTCCGCTTGCGGTTGAATTCCATCGCTCGTGTATCTTGGATTGGGCGCTCGGGGGCTCGCGATGGAGGGGGGCAGAAGGAGGGAGGAAAAGGAGGGAGGACCAGGGATGAGGGAGGAGGAGGAATCAGGACGCGGACGAGGAGGAAGGAGGAGAGGGAGGAGGGGTAGGGAGAGCAGGAGGAGCAGGAGAGGGACGAGCGAGAAGGAGCGAAGAGGAGGGAGGTGGGAGAATGAGGGAGGATGAGGGAGGACGGAGGAGGGAGAGAGGGAAAAGCGAGGAGGAGGATGAGGAGAAGAAGGAGAAGGAGGGAGGAGGAGGGAGGGCAGACAACGAAAGCACGCCGATACAGTTCGTCCATTATCGGGCCAACGGTTGGCCAGTTCCTGGGGTCGGCAGAGCCAAACTGACCACTGATGATGTGCATGCTTGAGGATGTGGAGACATGTGTCCAATGCATGCGCAATAGGTGAGAGTAGCGGCCTCCTGGCCAGAAGCCAATGGATGCCACATATGCCGTCCCCCAGAGACGCCCTGCAGGCTCGAGTACCCACCGGGAGATCTTGCGCCCCACGGGTTGGTTGCGGCGTCCCCTCGTCTTATCCAGTTCCTCCTCCTCCTAGTCCCTAGTCCACTGCGGTCGCTCTGTCCTTGCAAGTTCCCCCGACTCGACGCAGGCTGGTGGGCCTGAGATCGTCTGAGCTCTCGGATTGGGGCGTGTGCCAGGCGGTCATCTGCTCGGACGCGTACACGTTTCTCTGCGGGGACCACCCAGGAGCATCGTTGACCATCTTGTAAGAATTGACCTGGCGAAGGACCCAACCATATGCTGTGAATGCCGCAGTTGTGAATACCATCTTCGCCCGCGCTCCCTTTGTCGCCACGGCTTCCGCTGGATCCCGACATGCTCAGGGACACGTTCGTGGCCGCCTTCGCGGGCGCCGAAGACAACGAGGCCTGTCTCCCTCTAACCGAGGAGCAGAAGCAGGAGATGGCTTTGACAGCCATGAGGGAGGAGGTGGCGCTGCATGTCGACAAGGCGGAGTACGACGCCCAGGTGCGGTTATTGAAGTAGCACAACTATGGGGCCACCGATCGCGTGAGGGGCTTGCCGACATGGCCCGAGGCCGCCATGCGAACCCTGACGCTGACCGGCGCCTTCGGTGGAGCTCCTATGGGTCCACGATTCTCGTGAGGGGTTTGCTCAAATGGCCCGACCCCGCCATGCGAACCCTGCGACTGGCGCTGTCGGTGGAGCTCCTATGGGCCCACGATCCCCGTGAAGGTTGTGCCAACGTCGCCCGAGGCCGCCATGCGAACCCTGCCACCGGGGGCCGTCGGTGGAGCTCCCTATGGGGCCACCGAACGCTGCGCTGGGTGTGCCGAAACAGAAACGCGCGGAGGGCACGGGAGGGAGATGAGGAGGAACGCGGGGCGTTGTTTCTTCAAAACGAGTCCCCTCCGTAACCTCAGACAGTACCTCCCCCTTGACGGCCAGGCTTTCGAACTGCAGCATGTTGCAGCAGTCGTGGAGAAGACCGCGGCCGCTGCCCGTGCCAGTTCAGACTCAGCCCACTGCGGCTGAATACGGTATTCTCGAGAAGACCGCAGATCTCGCCATCAAGCTGGGCGTAACGAGTGCTCAGAAGAACCGCCTCCTCGAGACCACAGGATCGGTGGGAACCAACAGCGCGCGCGAAACCGAAGCATGCGCAGGGAACGGACGCCCGAGAGCTGGCAACATCTGCCGCGCTCGCCGTCGCGGCGTCCCCTTGGGCCGCCCGCGGGGGCGCCGAGACGGTTGCGCGTCTCGCGCCCCGCAGCCCGGGCCGCTTGTAGGCGTAAGGCTCCCATCCCCGCAGTGGCGGCGCATTGAGTTTACCAGCCTCGAACGCATCCCTATCCCTAAGATTGACACGCCGAAAAGCGATGACAATCTTAGGGATTCGCCTTCGAAAAATAAGGGAACCCCTAAGATTGGCATCGTGACGATGAGATGCCCAGCATAGGGATAGGGATATGTTCCAGGCTGGTAATGTACTGACCTCGAACCACTTCGATTTCATATGTTGGTCCGGCCGTGCCCTCAGTGCCCAAGCCTCTGATGAGGCGGCGGCAGGTCCCTTCCGACTCCGAGGAGCCTTCGCGTCGCTTCCTTTGAAGGACGCCCCCCGCCCCCCACCCTTGAGTTCACAAGCTTCCGGGGGCGCGGCGGACCGTTCCCATCCCCGCGGTTGCGGCGCACGAGAGCGTCACGATGACCGCGTCGAGCGCGGCGCGGGCCACGCCAAGGGCCGCGGCCAGTCTTTCTTGTGGGCTGCATCTGGCCGCGTCGACGAGCTTTCCCCCGCACCCGAAGGTTCCGGAGTGAAGAGCAGGGGCAGGAGGAAAAGGGGGAACAGGAGGAGGAGGAGGGAAAACGAGGAGAGGGAGGACACACACATCTGAAGATCCTTTCTCCCTGAGGAGGAGGAGGAGGAGGAGAAGAAGAACGAGGAGAACGAGGGCAAAAAGGAGGAGGAGGATTGAGATCAGGAAGAGGAGGAGGGAGAAAGTCGGAGGTGGAACGGTATGATGATGATGATGATGATGATGATGATGATGATGATGATGATGATGATGATGATGATGATGATGATGATGATGATGGTGATGGTGATGGTGATGATGATGGTGATGGTGATGGTGATGGTGATGGTGATGGTGTGGTGGTGGTGGTGGTGGTGGTGGTGGTGGGTGGTGGTGATGATGATGATGATGATGATGATGATGATGATGATGATGATGGTGATGATGATGATGATGATGATGATGGTGATGATGTTAATGATGGTGATAATGGTGATGGTGATGAGGATGAAGCTGGCGAAGAGGAGGAGGAGGAGGACGAGGACGAGGAGGAGGGAGGGGAAGGTGAAGAGGAGGAGGAGGAGGAAGAGGATGGTGAGGAGGAGGGGGAGTAGAAGGAGGAGGAGGAAAATGGGGGAGTGGTGGAGGTGGCATGGTAATCATGATGGTGAGGATGACGTTGATGTCGATGTTGATGTTGTTGTTGAGGGTGATTGTGATGATGATTCTCATGGTGATGGTGATCATGTCCATGCTGATGATGATTATGATGATGCTGGTGGTGATCATGGTGCTGATGATGGTGCCGCCTGAAGCTGCAGCACTCAGAGGCTCATACCCGAAGCTGAACAGAAGAGAAAGGCAAACCAGCACACCCACCCACGCTTCCCTCCTTCAATTGCCTCCCCTGTGTCCCGTCCCCCCACTCTCCCTCCCGCAGAGCTGCTGAATCCAGCAGGCCACTCGCAGCTGGCACTTTCTGTACGTAGTTGGACGTGTTCTGGGACTGAAGTTTAGACGGGGAGCACGGGGTGGAGCCAAGGAGAGTGCGCAAAGGTGAAGGTCCCGGCACTGACCCGCAATTGGCGGGAGACTCACGAGTTGGCGAAGCCCCGAGCATTAGAGGCCAGGCTTCACGATCTTCATGAAGGTGCCCGGAGGAGAGTCGCGACTGTTGGTTGGGGGATGCCCAGGAGAGAAAAAAACACACAGACACAATTCATCGTCGATTCCCCAGAAAATGAGGGAAAATATGGGAAGTGGGGGCGAAGACAAAACCCAGAAAATATGAGAAAATATGGGGAATTTTTGTATTTGTGTGTATTTATTTGTGTGTCCCAGGGCCCCTTCAGATGCAGGGCAGTTTGGTCGCACCGGGGATGGGTACTCCCTCCCTCCCCCTCCATGCCGCGCCGGCGAAGCGCAGGAGCACCAGAGCTCGGGTTGGGCAGATCCGTCCCTCCCCCGTCCCCCTCGTTCCCGTTTCCCCTTCCTTCTTGTGTTTGTTTGGGGCACGTGCGGTGTTCGTTTTTTGTTGTTACATTTGCAGGTGTGCATGTTCGGGTGTTCGATTCCGCTGTGGGCGCGTGCCGAGGAGGAGGGGAAGGAGAAGCTCGGTGATGATGACGATGGTGCTGATGATGACGATGGTGATATTGATGATGATACGATGACGAAAATGATGATACGATGACGAAAATGATGATGATGATGATGATGATGATGATGATGATGATGATGATGATGATGATGACGCTGATGCTGATGCTGATGCTGATGCTGATGCTGATGCTGATGCTGATGCTGATGATGCTGCTGCTGATGCTGATGCTGATGATGATGCTGATGCTGATGATGCTGATGATGATGGTGATGGTGGTGCTGGTGGCGGCGACGGTGTTGATGATGACGACGCTGATGGTGACTGTGGCGATGATAATGGTGACGATGACGATGTTGACGACGACGATGATGGCGATTTTGATGGCGAACATGTTCAGGGCCATGATGGTGATCCTGACGGTGACGATGATGATGATGATGATGATGATGATGATGATGATGATGATGGTGCGAATGATGAATGTCGTATTGGTGGTGATGGTTGTAGTGATGATGATGGTGCTGATAATGTGATGGTGAGGATAATGATGATGATGGTGATGAGGGGAAGGAAGAGGATGAGGAGGAGGAGGAGGAGGAGGAGGGTGATGACTATGAGAAGGATGGAGACGCATACCAGCATGATGATGATGGCGATTTTGATGATGAGCAGGAGGAGGAGGAGGAGGAGAAGAGGAGGAGGGGGAGGAGGCGGTTCAAAGCGAGGAGGAAGGGAAGAGGGAGGAGCATGTTCACAGCGAGGAGGAAGGGAAGGGGGAGGAACATGATGATGCGGATTGGGATGAAGATGATGACCATGACGATTCTGATGATGATGCTGATGATGATGTTGATGGTGGTGATCATGATAATGCTTATGATATGATGGTTGTTGTGATGATGATGCTGATGCTAACGGTGATGGTGATGTTTTGGTGCTGATGATGATTAGGATGACGTTGGTGATGATGATGATGAGGATTGGGATGACTATGAGGATGAGGGTGCTGATGATGGTGGTGGTGGTGATGATGATGACGAGGATGATGATAATGATAACGATGGTGCTGACGATGATGATGATGATGACGATGATGCTGATGATGATAATGTGGATGATGATGCTGATACACATGATGATATTGAGGATGATGGTGATGATGCGGACGATGATGATGATGCTGATGCTGATAAACATGATGATGATGCTGATGATGGTGATGATGATGATTATGATGATGATGATGATGATGATGATGATGATGATGAGGATGATGATGATGCTGATGATGATGATGATGCTGATGATTGTGATGATGCTGATGCTGATGCTGATGCTGCTGCTGCTGCTGCTGCCTCTGCTGCTGCTGCTGCTGCTGCTGCTGAGGAGGAGGAGGAGGAGGAGGAGGAGGAGGAGGAAGGGGCTCCGCTGGCTCGCGGCCCCGTGCCAGGGCGAGGGGCAGCAGCAGCACCCCGTGCGCCTGGCGGACCTGCGCGAGATGAACGCGTCCTTCCTGGACAGCCCTTGCGGCGGGCCTGCCCGCCGCTGGCATCCTCCCCCTCCGCAGTCGACTTCCTTCTGTCCATTTCCTTCAAGCCCGCCCTCCTGGTCCCCCCTACGTACTCCCGGTGCTCCTCCCCGCCGCCCCCTCCCCATGCCGCCTCCATGTTCCCCCTCCTCCTGCTCCTCCTCTTCATCCTCCTGCTCCTCCTCCACCTCCCCCCCCTCGTCCTCCTCCTCCTCCTCCTCCTCCGTTTCCTCCTCCTTCTCCTCTTTCTCCTTCTCCTTCCCCTCCTCCTCCTCCTTCTCCTCCCACCTCATCCTCCTCCTCACCTTCCTCCATCCTTCCAGGGCATTGCACAGCATTCAGTACTCACCTTCCTTTTCTTTTTCCTCCTCCTCCTCCTCCTCCTCCTCCTCCTTCCTCGTCTCCTTCTCCTTCTCCTCCTCCTCCTCCTCCTCCTCCTCCTCCTCCTTCTCCTTCTCCTTCTCCTCGCCCTTCTTCTCCTCCTCCTACTGCTCATCCGCCTCCTCCGTTTTCTCCTCTTGCCCCTCCTCCTCTTCCTCCTCCTCCACCCCATGGGCACCTCTTCCTCCTCCAGTTTAGCGGGCACCTCTTCCTCCACCCCTACGGTCCTCTCTTCCTCCTCCTTCTCTTCCTCCCCACGGGGCCCCATCCACCCCAGGGGCACCTTCTCCTCCTCACCCCCCCCGCCAAGCGGCGCGCGTCTGGACGGCGACCGCCTCCGCCCACTTAGGCTCCTTCGGCGGCCCCCTCCGCGACGCCCGCGCCCGCCGCTCGCGCGCGGCGTGCGGAGGACGCGCTCCACGCGCACGGCGTCCGCCTCGCGTCGGCGGCCGCGAGGCTGCTCGAGAGCGTCGTGGGGCCGCGCCTGTGGGCGCGGCCGCCGCCCGACCGCCGGCCTGGCCAGCGCCGCCGCCACCGCTGCCGCCGTTGCCGCCGGCGCCGTCGCCGTCGCCGTCGTGGCCACCGCCGCCGCCATCGTGGCCGCCGCCGCCGCCGTCGCCTGATGCCTGGCTGCAGGTAGGCGGCGGCGCCTCCGCCGCCGTCGGCGCACAGCAGCGGCGGCGGCGGCCACGAGTAAGTCGGGCCTGTCCCTCTACAGGAGGAATGTTCAAACTAGCATTCAAACATGTACATCGTCTGGGGGCGATGGCTCGATTATTTTTGACCATTTGTGGAGTCTGTTTTGAGTACGTCTCATTTTTCGGTCAAGATCCGCCTGCAGGCGGACACGCCCGACCTGAGCACACGAGGGCGGCCACGGCCACCACCACCACCACGACGGCGGCGGCGGCGGCGGCCGCCGCGACGGCGGCGGCGGCGACGCGGCTCCGCCCTGGGCTGCCGGGTCCGTCCTGGCGGTTCTGGGGCCCCCATTGGCCGGGGTCTGGGCCCCCGCCTTTGACGAACGAGCAACACACACACACACACACACACACACACACACACACACACACACACACACACACACACACACACACACACGCACACGCACGCACGCACGCACGCACGCACGCACGCACGCACGCACGCACGCACGCACGCACGCACGCACGCACGCACACACGCGCACACACACACACATACCCATATGAGGGGTCGTTGGGAGGAGGACCGGCTATGAGCATGGGTGCGGGTTGTCGGATTCTGGGGAACGCTCCCCTTCGAGCGGGGGCCCCCCATCCGACAGCACGCACCCATAGCCCTTTCCGACCCTCTATGGGTATGTGTGTGTTGTTGATTCGTCATCTTCGCCTTCTCCAAATTTGCCTTCTGGGCGGGCGCGGCCAGGCCGTCAGCTCCATGCTATAGATGTAAGTCGGGCTTGTCCCTCTACAGGAGGACAATTCAAACGTAGGCAAAAATAGTCTGGGGACGATGTGTTGTGCATTTCTGGCAATGTTTGGCGCGTTGTTGGGCTATTGTTTATTAGTCGTCCAACATCCGTCTGTAGGAGGACATGCCCGACCTAAGGTTAGCGAGAAGCGAATGATATGTTTCGCGGGAGGATGCGGGACCGGTACCGCTGCTCGTCCTGAAGATCTCTCGTCGCCACGATTGGATCCAGAATCTCCGAAAGTCTGATCTGACAGCACCCCGGGAGAGAGCTGCGCAGTAGCGGTATCGGTAGTGTTGTGTGCCCCCAGTGTTCTCTCATTACCCCCTTCTCTTACGGGTGCGAGGTATGGGCTGTGCATGGTGCATCGTGCGTCGTTTATTCGTAACAGCAGTCTGTGCAGCATGCAGGGCCAAGGGGAATGGTGTTCCCCATATCCTGAAGGGGAGCCGCCAAGGATGGTCTCATTCCCCCTTTTCGCAGCCATGTCGTGGGGATTATCTGCTGGGGCTTGCCTGTTCGATTGCCCAGACCCTTCTGCTTTCACGGCGTATTTCAGGAGGGAAAAAACACAGACACAATTAATCGCTGATTCCCCAGAAAATAGAGGAACATATGGGAAGTGGGGGGGAAGACAAAAACCCAGAACATATAGGAAAATATGTGGAATCCTGTCATTTGTGTGTATTGTAGTGGCCTTCGGCCAGTGCCGCCGATCCGGGGCGCTCCGACTGATGTGATCCTTCTTCGCCCTCGTCCCTCCTCTCTTTTTCCCTCCCCTCCTCTCACTCAGCATTTATCCAGTGGCCGTCGTGCGTGGGTGGTGGGTCAGAGGCCTCATGGATGCTGGTTGGGATCTCGTGGTTGGCTGGGACTTCTGGGGGCCTCTTGGGCGCCTCTTGGGGCTTCTTGGGGGCCTCTTGGGCCTCTTGGGGCCACTAGAGGGCCTCTTGGGGGTCTCTTGGGAGCCTCTTGGGGCTTCTTGGGGGCCTCTTCTGCGCCCCTTGGGGCCTCTTGGAGGCCTCCTCGGAGCCTCTTGGTGCGGGAGGGGTGGTACTCGAGTTCGGAACCCCCTCGGAGGCCACGATCCTTGTGAGGGGTGTCAAAAAACGCATCCGCCGGAAAACCCCCCCCCCCCCCCCCCCACCCCCCCTTCCCCGGCAGGGCCACCCCGGCACCCCCCCCAGAGGCTGAGGCTCAGCCTCGAGGCTGTAGCTGAGACTCCTTGAAACTCACACGCCGGATCGGCGGATTTATTTGTGTGTTTGTGGGCCGCTTCAATATTGTCAGGATATCACACCCGATTCGCTGGATCTCGCACCCCCGCCAGGGGTGGTTGCACGGCCCCGCTCGCGCCCAACCTGTAGGATGCCTCGGGCGGTGTGCTTGTCTGGTTGCCAGGTGTCGCCTGCTCTCGGAGCAGACTGTGGGGATGCCGCGGGCGAGCGAGCTGCCTCTCTTGCGGCCCAGACTCATTTGCCTTCGGGGCAGACTGTGGGGGATGTTTCCGGCGGCGCGCCTAAAGTCGGCCCTGATTAGTAGGTCGACCTTGCCGAGGCAGGGTGCCCTTGTGTCCTGCGTCTCGCGACCCATGCCTCCTACATTCCCATGGCAGTGTGGTCCTCGGACCCTCGGAAGGGTCTCGTGTCCTCTCGCGTGTCCTGTCCACTCAGGGCCGGCTGTATCTGCTGGCCTTCAGAACAGACTGTGGGTCACCACCCACCAAACCACCCCAACCCAACCCGAAGGCTCAAATTTACCCTCGATTTCCAGTTGGGGGGGTCGGGAAACATCGAAAAAACACATGTGGAACCCTTACCCCCCCAACCCGAAATTCGGGTCTTTGGGTTGGGTTGGGGTGGTCTGGTAGGTAGTCAGTGGGGCTGTCTCGGGCGAGGCGATGGCTTCCGCACCCCGCGGGGTGGCCGCCGGGGCCCGCTCGCACCAGAAATCGCGAGGACGTCCCGGGCGGTGTGCCTGCTTCTGTTGGTTGTCCCCAAACGTGGTGGTGAGAACACCCGGTGGTGAGTTTGGGGCGATTTGAGTAATGGTTTTCGAGCGCTGGCTGGCCCAGAAAACGCAAAACCTCGTGGCGACCGCGTGTCCCCAAACCCGGTGGTGACCCAGACATATTTTTTGGGGAATCGGGGTCACCACTGGGTGTCTCACCACCTGGTTTGGAGACCACCAATTCTGCCCGGCTGCGACAGTGGCAGCCCATGCCCAGAATCGGGGGCAACGATACGAGGGGGGGATAGGCACAGGGGGGGATGCCTCGACCCCCGATCGCCCATGGATCCCCGATGGGGGCCCGATAGCCCCAGCCTGCACAGGAAGATGCGGAGTCACTATCGCGGGCCAATCGCCGATCTATCGGCGGTGTATCGCCGATTCCAGGTCGATGCATCCCCCCCTATGCCAGTCCCCCCCTATCGTTGCCCCTCACAGAAGCAGCCCGCCTGCCTGCAGGGTGCCCTGGGTTTCTTGGGTTTCGATCGTTTTGCCATGGAAAGCGCGGCGACAGCATGCCAAACGTCGATGGACGTCCGGGGGTATCGGGGGTGGGCTTCTTGCGGAGGGTTTCTTGCGGTCGAGTTCCTACTGTAGCCTGGTTTCAGATGAGGCTACAAGATTGTCGCGAGCGAGGCGCTGGTTTCAGCAGGGGGAGGGCCAGGGAACAGACTGCCAGGATACCTCGGGCGAGGCGCTGGCTGTCGCCCCCCGAGCGGGAAGCCGCCACGGGGTCCTCCTCCTCCTCCTCCTCCTCCTCCTCCTCCTCCTCCTCCTCCTCCTCCGTAGCCATTTTGGCTCAAGACCCATGCTTTGGCGGGCTGAGCCCGCATTGGCAAAAACGGATACCGCTAGTCCGCGGCAGCTTTCAACCTTTCAGGAGGTCCCTCTCTCGAGGGGTTCGCGAGCCTCCAACATCCCTTTCTTTGCTCTGGCGCCATGGCTCCTGTTGGCCCTGGTGAGTGGGAGCGCCGCCCGTGGGTCCAGGCCTCCAGGCCCCGTCGCTGGGGAGGCACTATACCCGAGGGAGGAGTATCGGCTGATAAGTGGGATAAATGGGACAGCCAGCGAGGCAAGCACGAGGAGGATTGGAAGACGGTGGCTGGGCCCAAAGGTGAAATTCTATGCCACCACTGCGGCTGCAAGAAGAACTCAAAAGGATCGATGTGCTGCAAACATTGTGGCCAAAAGCTTGGATCTCGACCCCAACCTCTGGAAGACCCTGGGGCCCCCAAGGCGTCGGATGAAATGGGGAAGGGAGCGGGCAAAGGGAAGAAAGGTTACAAAGGTGGCAAGGGAGATCCGCTCGGTGGCAAGGGTACAGGCAACCTCTCCTCGGCACTCCCTCCTGGACCTGTTCCCGAGATTCCTCAGGCCAAGGCTCTCGAACTTCAGCGTTTGGCTCGTGAGGCTGGGGACGCTGTGGGGGCCGCGCGCTATGGAGCCCTGGCGCAGAGAGCGGCTCCGCCCCCGAAGCCGTCGGGGAGGCAGAGGCTCATTGCCGCGGAGCAGAAGCAGGAGAAGCTCGAGAAGCGCCTCAACAGCGAGTTCGAGAAGCTGGAGCGCTGGCGTCGGGCGACTGAAGAGCTGGCAGCCACGGTCGGGGCCCTGGCCGACGAGCTGCAGGCCGCCGACGCCGAGGTGGCAGCTGCCCTGGTGGAGCTCCAGAGCCAGCACAGGGGACCACCAGCGGCGGAGTCCAGCGGCCTGGCGAGCATCAGCCTGCGAAAGCTCATTGACGGTGAAATGGAGTTGGCCAGCCTTATTTCTTGTGACGATTTCATTGATGTGGAGGCTGTCAAGGGCAGCTACGAGGTGTCTGAAGAGGACCTACGAGAGCTCGAGGAACGCAAGAACGACGTGGCGAAGCAGATGCAAGAGATGCTTGGATCGGTGTTTCGCCAAGCGCTGGAGAAAGCCAACTCCGCTCAGGACCAGCACAAGGAGCACCTCAAACGTCTTCAAGCTAAGCGACGACGTACCGCTGATGACGGCCCTGGCGAACAAGCAGCAGCCACTGGGGGGAT